GCCATTTGCAGCCCTTTACACTGAGCCCTCTTTAAAGTCAAAATGAAAATAGGGAACTTCAAGTCCATTTCCTTCAGAGGGGTTTGTTTTACAACCTTTTTTTTCTGGGTCAAAGTTATACCATTACTTAATTCTAAAGTCTGATTTGAATTTGCCACTCACCCACAGGCATGGCTTCTACCTACCCCCCAGATTCCTAAATTACTTGATCAGATTCAGTTAATCCATTTACTGTGATTCCTACAGTATCCTGCTCTTGGTGAGTCTTAAGGTCATTTTAACCATATGCTACCCCAGAGCAGCTGAAGCTTCCTTCCCATCCTCTTGCTCCAAACTTCGAAAATCCTGTGACAAAATGAAGCTGGACCCGTGGAAAGCTGGGAACCTTGTCAGCCTGCCTGGTGAATGGCCCCATCTCCCAGATCCTTTCTGCATTCAGGCTCAGAAGGACGGCCCACAGGGAAATGGAAAGAGGTCAGCTAGCCTTGTGACCCCACCCTGCCCCCTTCATCACCAGGGCTGGCCTTGAGCTTTTTATATAACATGGCAGAGAATGCAGTAGCTGGACCTGTGCAGAAGGCCCTGTGCATCAGGACTTGATGTCTGTCTCTGCACTCCCAAGTCTGGCTCTGAGACCCAGTGCAGCCCTGCTTTTACACTGACTATTGCAGCCAACAGAAAAAGCCTTCCATCCTCCCAGGGCCACCAGACCTCAGAAAGGGCCTATTCATATAACAGCTCTGCACTGCTCTCCCCATCCTCCTCCCCTAACAGCCATGGGTAGGGCAGAGGGCTGAGGGAAGTTCTGCAGACCTGAGAACAGCAAAAAAACACGGGTTGCTGGCCTCCTACCCTGTCTGAATGCTCAGGGTTAAGCCCCTGAGACCTCACAAAAGGGAAAAGATTCCCTCTGGGTTTATTTGAATAGATTTCTCCCAAGATATTGCCCGGAGAAAGGGAGCAAACAGAAATATTGGTTGTTCACAGTTGTTTGGCCCCAGGGTAATAGTTCTCAAAATTCAGTGTGCAGAGCAAACCTCCAGCGTGCTTCTTAAGATGCAGATTCCTGGGCTCCACCTCTAGGGACTGTAGTTCAAAAACTAGTGTCTGGATGTGCATTTTAAACAGGCCTAGGGGCACATTTTACTCCAAAGCCTGAGGCAGAGGTGGAATGCTTCCCCCCACCCCCATCCCCAGCCTGGTCTTATTCAATACAACCTGTTGCAGAGATGCGCTGCTCAACTTGTGGTTCTCACGGCACCCGGGAAAGTTCCTGGCACAGGGGTGTCCAGTGAAATCACATCAAGCAAAGCTCAAGTTCAGGGGAGGCAGTGATTCTTAGAGTTCCAGATTTACTGCAAGATGAGGAGGGGGCTCGTGATGAGAAAGTGAAGTCCAGTTGGAATATGGAAATCCTACACTGACTCTCCAAACTGGGCTGCAGACTGCACCGGGGACTCATTCTGAAGATACAGCGTGTAATCCGAAGGATCCCTCCGATTCAGGTTTGTCTAGATGTGCCAGAAGGAGTACTGGACCAGGGTGCAGGGGCTTGAGTTTGGGGAGCAACTCATGAGCTGACTTTTTCTGGACTTGACTTTACCTGTTTGTAAAACGAGGCCCAGGAGTATGCTAAGGTTCTTCTGGATCTGAGTTTCTAGATTTCTCTATCCCCTGTAGCTTGCTTCTTGTCTTCATCTTCAAGTATGAATGCTTGGGCAGGGGCCACATCTAATTCTCTCCCTCAACTGTTTGCCCACTTTAACTAGAATATTACCTGGCACGCAGTAGATGCCCATCAAATATTTATAAATGGTCATAAGGTAAAGGAGTCCTCACTGAAACAATGCTCAGGTAGTAAGGCAACGGCAGGGATTGAGGCTGCTGGAAACTTCCAAGCAAGAGGACTCTGATAAATCACTGTCCTAGGTGGCTTCATCGGGGTGTTTGACAACTTCAGAAGTAGCCACATAGCCTTTCCTTTCCTTTAAACATATCTAATTTGTCTTATAAAAGGAATTTGTGTATATTGTAGAAAATTTGTAACTTTTTAAAAGGTACTTAAAAAATTAAAAAACCACTCATGCAATGACTTTGCTTTTTCTTTTCTTTCTTTCTTATCTTTCTCCCTACTTCCCTCCTTCCCTCTCTTTCTTTTCTTTGTTTCCTTGTCTATCTTTTGTAATCAGAGAAAAATGGTATGATACTTGATATTTTAAAAGTCACTTGTAATTCAAAGATAATCATTGCTTAATTATTATGCAGTTTCAATATTCATCTATGCATGTCTATGTATTTGGAAAACATACTGTTTATACAGCGCCACATCCTAAATCGTCTGCTTGCATGTCCCCTTAAAGACTTAAGCATCACTTTCAATGGCTTCATGACACTAGGACATTTAACCACTCCCTCATTTTGGACATTTAAGCTGTTTCCTTTATGCTTTATATTATAAATATCACAGTGATAAGGATATTTCCCCGAACATTTTTATCTGTATTTATTTCCTTAGGATAGCGTCCCAGAAATGGAATTACAGGGTCAGAATGTAAAGCTCTGTAAGCTTCTTGAGACATGGTGGCAAAATATTTTGTAGAAAAGTTTTCACCAATTTACACTGGAAGTCACTATCCTTCAGTGAGCTTTGTAGCTGCCTCACCAGAGAAGAGGAGAAACAACCCGACATGCTTGAAGGCATCCCCGAAACTGTGTGGCCGCCGCAGAGGGAGGCCAGAGTGCGATGGGCGCAGCTCGGTCGCAGCTTCCCCTCGGCGTGTTTCCTAGTTCTTTGAAGTTCTTCGTTTCTTAAAATACCAGAAGGGGAAAAGAAAAGAAAAAAAAAGCGGCCCAGAGGTGGAGAATGTTTAGTGGTAATGGTAGTGTGGGTAGGGATGGGGGGAGATCCCTACGTTTGAGCAAAGAGAAGAATTTGTCAACGAGAATCTCACACTTGGAGATACTTCACGGAAACATCTACCTAATCCAAAGTGAGCTTCCAGAGACGGGCAGGATAATGAAGGAAGAGGCAGTAGGGAGAGGAGTTGGAGGCCTCCAGCTGGAAGGCTGTGGCCCCTTTAAGGGCCAATCCGAGGCCTGGCTCTTTAAATCTGTGTCAGTTTCCCCTGACGTCAGCGGGCGGGCCGGCCACCCCGCTGTTTACCGCCCCGCCGCGCTGCTCACTCCCCGGAGTTCCGAGCGCCGCGGCCGTCGCGTCCGCCTGCCCTTAAAGGGCTGGCGCCCCAACAACTCTCCGCGCGGCGTCCGGTCGCTACCACCTATCACGCCCCTCAGCCTTAGACTCTCCTCCCTTTGGGGCCGCCCCCACTGCCGGCTTCCCCTCCCTTCCTCCCATTTCCCGGCGTCTCCAGGCTCCCAGCAACCAGCCTCCTCCTCGCTCCCACGGCCCTGGCCGGCGCCCGCTGGGTCTCCGAGCCGTGCTCCTCGGCCCCTCGCGAGCTGGGGCCCCTTCCTGTGGCCCGTACCCACAACCCCCACCTCCGCGTCCCAGCCGCCTCCTCCCCTCCCGGGCCCTGGAAAGCGTGTCTGCGGCTCCAGGGAGGGGACGTTTCCTAATCTCAGGCCGGGGTTAAAGTTCTGGTCCTGGTGAGATGCTGGAAGCTGCGGCCAGAGCCGCAACTAGCCCTGGAGGTGTCTTGTCGCCTGTCGCCGCCGCCGTCGCTGCCGCCGCCACTGCCGTCCTGCCGGGGCCATGTTCGCTCTGGGCTTGCCCTTCTTGGCACTCTTGGTGGCCTCGGTCGAGAGCCATCTGGGGGTTCTGGGGCCTAAGAACGTCTCGCAGAAAGACGCCGTGTTTGAGCGCATCTACGTGGATGAGGTCAACAGCGAGCTGGTCAACATCTACACCTTCAACCATACTGTGACCCGCAACCGGGTGAGGGAAGGGGCTGTGCTGGGGGCTGGTGATGGTGAGTGGGTGAGCAGCCCCGGGCTAGGCGGTCATGGCAGTCCCCGTGAACGGCCGCCCTACTGGGTTTCTCTGAACCACGCTGGACCCTCCTGCCAGCCCGTCTTCCTTTGCCACCAGTGTTTTTTCTGTAGCTTCCGCTGGACAGTTTCTGAAGTTGCCTCATTCCCATCTTCTCTTTGATTCCCTCCTTTCCACCAGCTGTGGTCTGAGCAGGACTGGCCTGCTCCCTACCCAACACCCAGAATCTGACAGTTCTATGGGGTCTGGGAGCTAGGGGAAGCAGGCTTGCTACTGGCCTTGGCCCAGAAAACCTCAGGGGATGAGACAGGCCCAAACTGAAATGCTCTGCCCAGGGAAGTTATAGCTGAGCTTCCCCAGGGTGTAACTGCTGGGACTTCCCATCATCAAAAGCCAGCTGTTTAAGTTGAAGGTGGTGAAGATACAGCCAACTTCAGGTAGGGTGGGAGGAGAGAGGGAGTTTGCTTACTGTGGAGAATCTTCCTCACCCTTATTTCTTTTTCATTTCTTCCCCAACTGTGAGTTGAACATGGCCATAGATAGGTCTGGGAAGTGGAGATTTGGAGAACTCTTGCAGCCTGGCTGATGGTCTTAGCTCTCACCAGGACTGGATTTACTAAGAAGCAGTGGAGTTCAGAATGGGAATCTGATTTTGTTTTTTCAGGTTAAGGAGGGATTGGGTTTCCCATGGCAGCCAGAATCTGCCTCCAGTGTCTGGTTCTCTGAAGTTTGATCTCTTTCAGCTTAGAGTCTTTTCTCTTTTTCCCCCGTATCTGGGATTACCCTGAGAGCTGTGGCCTCTCCCCCTCTGGGAGTGCTGCCCTAGGGCTGGGATTCCAGCAGACCAATAACAAGCATTCCCAAGATTTACTTAGTTTAGTTTTTATTTAAGCTCTGACTGTACTATATACTTTCCTCCATGGTGCCAAAGGTATGAGTGTCTCCATTTTACAGAAGGGGAAGTTGAGGCTCAGGGATGTAAAGTGACTTCTCCACAGCCCTATCCCTTGGTCAGAGCTAAGGGTAGAACTTGGCTTTCTTGACTTTCAGCAGCCCTTGTTTCCCCACCTCCCTGCAGCCTCTGGCCGCCAGATGAGTTGAATAGGAGCGTCCTGGTTCACAAGGAAAAGATCGGGGAGTGCGTCTCTGTCTCCTTTGTCCCTGTGTGTACATGTGTGTACATGCACCTGTGTGTGCAGACAGGTGCATCCCATGAACTTGGATAGCAATGGGGTGTCCTGGGGACACCCGAGGTCTCCTCTATGTTTCTTGTCCTCTAGTCCCTTCTGGAGACTGGGGGCTGCTCTGGCAGAAGAAGGGGCATAGGAGCTCCCCAGCCTGACTGGGATGGGGAAAGAACAAAGCGGTTGGCTTGAGGGAGGGCAGGGCTCCCAGTCTCTGGAGCCATGTGTTCCGGTGGCGAAGGCAGAATCCCCACAGGCTTGGCTGAGGGCATTTCCATGTCATTCTGCAGACGGAAGGTGTGCGCGTGTCCGTCAACGTCCTGAACAAGCAGAAGGGGGCTCCTTTGCTGTTTGTAGTCCGCCAGAAGGAGGCGGTGGTGTCTTTCCAGGTGCCCTTAATCCTGCGAGGGATGTAAGTAGGACCTGGGGACCAGGGAGGAGCTGGGCTGAGGCCAGGCCTTGCTCAGACCCTCACTCGGGTGCTCCTCTGTTTCTCCTCCCTGTTCCCTGAGCCAGGATGCTGGTCAGCGGCCAAGCCAGCCAGCTGCCCAGGAGCTTGTCAGCCTAGCCGGGGCTGGGAGTGGGAGGCGGTGGGATCAGAGTGGAGGAACTGGGGCCCTGCCCCTCTGGAGTGGCACGCTGGCTGTCGCAGGACCACAGTCATGTCCTGACTCTGCTCCGGGCCATAGGTTTCAGCGCAAGTACCTCTACCAAAAGGTGGAGCGCACACTCTGTCAGCCCCCCACCAAGAACGAGTCCGAGGTCCAGTTCTTCTACGTGGATGTGTCTACACTGTCACCAGTCAACACCACGTACCAGCTCCGGGTCAGCCGAATGGACGACTTCGTGCTCAGGTCTGTAGAGGAGAGTGAGGGGCCCCAGGACTGGCCTCCTTCGCTAGCTCCGGGGGTGACCGCGGGGGCTCTCCTCTGCCCCACAGGACTGGGGAGCAGTTCAGCTTTAATACCACAGCAGCCCAGCCCCAGGTAAGACCTCCCAGAGGAGAAATCGGGACGCGTGAAGTTGGGGATGAGAGTAGTCGGCAGTCTTTGCCAGGAGTATCAAGTTGGCTCTTCTCTCCATGGAGGGACTCTCTGGAAACAGGAGCTCTGACCCTTAGGTGGTGGTGGGGAGACAGCATGGGAGGTGCAGAGACGTGGGGACTGGCTACCTCTTGGGCACTGGCCTGAGTGCCCAGATGAAAGGTGAGGGGAGTGGGGTGCAGAAAATGGGGCTGCTTGTGGTCAAGGCCTTTCTTCCCAGAGAGCCTCCACTGCCCAACCCTGGGAGGATTCACACTATTTCCTTCTAGAGGGGCAAAGAGAGCATTCTTATGGGATGGGGCTCTCCCCGCCCTCCCTATGCCCTCAGTACTTCAAGTATGAGTTCCCGGAGGGAGTGGACTCAGTCATTGTCAAGGTGACCTCCAACAAGGCCTTCCCTTGCTCAGTCATCTCCATCCAGGATGTTTTGGTAAGTTGCCCATCCTTTTACTCTCCACCAGGGGATAGCAGGGCTGCTACAGAGAGGGGACAGGGCCCAGGTCTCTGCCCACCTGTCTCTCCCCCTGTCCCTCTATAGTGCCCTGTCTATGACCTGGACAACAACGTAGCCTTCATTGGCATGTACCAGACTATGACCAAGAAGGCAGCCATCACCGTGCAGGTAGGAAATGCCTGTGGCCCCGTGAGGGGTGTGGCCAGGTGATTCACTTTCCTCACCCTTGCTCCTTTCCCCTACTCCATTCCTCCCTTCTCACAGGACTGAGTCTTAGCTTGCCAATCCCCGAGACTCTGCATCCCTTGATATATGTGAGCATCGAATCACAATCATAATCGCTTTGGGGGACAGGAAAGAGTAGAGTACCCTTTCTGGCCATCATGTCTGCTTCATCCACCACAGCATTGCTGGGAGAGGAGAGTGGCCTGGCTGATGCCGAGGGCTGCCCTTGGCACAGGCTGAAACCTGTGTTGTGGGCAGGGAGCTGGGGGACCATGTGATCACCTCATGACATCCAGTCATGCAACTGATGGAGACACCGTGCTCCCTCCACTTCTCCTGGCTGATGCTCAGACTGTAACAGCACACCCATGGGTTCCAGGATGTCGGGGCATACCCACGTTCGCCCACCTGGCAGTAGTATAGAGGCAGGGTTTGGGCTCAGGAGCCAGATAGTCCTGGCTCTACCACTTACTAGCAGTGTGACCCTAAGCTCACTTCGGAGCCTGTCCAACAGGGATGATGGTAGTGCTTACCCATAGGATCTTTGGGAGGATTAAGTAAAATGATATATACATATACACACAAAGAGCTTAGCATAATGTCTGGCCTGAAGTAAGTATTCAGAAAAGGATGGTGCTGGTGATGGCAGTCACTGTCATTGTTGTCATCACCCCCATCCTCATCCTCATCTTGCAGCGCAAAGATTTCCCCAGCAACAGCTTCTACGTGGTGGTGGTGGTGAAGACTGAAGACCAGGCCTGTGGGGGTTCCCTGCCTTTCTACCCCTTTGTCGAAGGTAAGTTTTGTGCCCTGGGCCTGACTAGCAGTGGAGAGGACTTGGGCACTTCCGGGAAGGTAGAAGAGCCTGCGTGGCTGATTGATGGATCCGATGGGATGTGAGTTTTTGGCCCCAGACACTCCCAGGCCTGGTCCTACCAATTCTAGCCAAGGTCCAGACAAGAATTTGTTTGCCCGTTTGACATTTTACTTCCAGATGAACCGGTCGATCAAGGGCATCGCCAGAAAACCCTGTCCGTGCTGGTCTCGCGAGCAGTCACTTGTGAGTGGGGGTGGCTGAGTGGAGATGGCCTGGCCTCTGGCTCTTCTTTCAGGCCTGGGGTAGGGAGTGTTCTCTGAATGGGACGGGTGAGGAGGACCTACTGGAGCAGGCTGCCAGGGTTGGAGAGGGGAGTGTTGTTGGCAGACTTGATGACGGGAGGCGGAAGGTGAGTCCCGGCACAATGCAGTACAGAGCATCATGAGTAAAGACTGAGGTGCTGAGTTCTAGATCTCTCTCTGCCACTTATGAGCAGTGTAATCTCACTGCGTCATAGTTTCCCCATCTCTATAATGGGGGCAATAGAATCTGTCCCATTAGTCTCACTGGTTTAGCGCAAAATTAGTAGGAAAGTACAAGGCCTCATAGTCATGCTCAGTAAATATTTACTGAGTGATTGAATGAAGCCCTTTGTAAACTGGCAAGTATCAGATAAAAATAAGGGATTGTGATTGGAGGGGAAAGAAGCTGCCTCTCCTACACGGATTCTTTATTCAGCACTTCCGTGTGTCCAGTCCCCGGGCCCGTGTTCCGGCTGCTGACCTTAGGGTGTTCCCGTTTAGAGGGCCCAAAGCATGTTGCTGTGCAGGGGCCTGAGGGCTGGGAGGGGCCCAGGCCTGGAGCTCACGGTGCAGGAGGCCTCCTAGAGGGCACAGCTCCTCAGCTGTGTTTTGAAGGTTAAGTCAAGATGGCATTTTGGAGAAAGAAGTAGAGGAGAAGGTTCTAGCAGAGGAAGCCATGCACAGCTGGGTCATTCCATCCGAGGGGAGAAGCAGCGAGAGATGAGGCTGGGCCCTGTGTGCGTGGCAGGCAGCCTAGGAAAGCGTGGGCCTGTTCCCCTCCCCGCTTCCCTCCCGCAGCCGAGGCCTACGTTGGCGGTATGCTCTTCTGTCTGGGCATATTTCTCTCCTTCTACCTGCTAACCGTCCTTCTGGCCTGCTGGGAGAACTGGAGGTAAAGTGGAACCGCTGGGTCCTCCCCTGCTCTGGGATGGGTCAGCAGGAGGCGTGGGGGAAGTGGCCTGGCAGGATCTGAGCGGCCCGGATACTCTCCATCCATGGGGCATAGGAAAGCAGGTCCCTGTTAGGGCCTGTGGTCCATGGGCCTCTCCTCTGGAAACCAACCTCTCCCCTCAACCTTCTTCCCAAGCAGGGAGACCCCACATTGCTTCCCAGCCTGGGAGGACCTCTGGGATAGTAGACAGAGGACATGGTTTTGGGGTGGAGAGGGTGGAAGGCAGTCCAGCCCAGCGTAGGAGGGATCCTCATCCTGCCCCTCTGGTTGGCCTCTGGATTCTGTCCCTGCAGGCAGAGGAAGAAGACCCTTCTGGTGGCTGTGGATCAAGCCTGCCCAGAAAGCGGTACCTCCAGAGGGTCTGGGTGGGGAGGGCAGAGCTTGCTCTGTGTTTTGGAGGGGAGAGTGGTGATGGTTTCTTTGGGAGTTGAAGGAGGAAGGGCCCACTGGGGGCTTCTGGATGTTCAGGTTGGGAGGAATGCTACAGATGGAAATGGGGCTGGGATGGATAGTGTGACGTCAGTCCCTAACGTGCCCATCTTAAAGGCTGCCACTTGACTCACTCGTTTTCTGGGTCTAGCTACACTGTCTGCCTCAGACAATGCGGCTCACCATCTCTGGTATTATTAACCTTTCATTCTCTTCCCTTTTCTTGTATCCCTCTCTGTCTCTCTCCTCCTTCCTGCTTGGGACCTTCTGTCTCAGCTTCTCTCCTTGGTAAGCTCCCGGCGCTGTGGGCAGAGGAGCTGGAGTCCAGAATGGGAAGGGAGGGGAAGTACAGGGGTGTCTGGGTAGGACTGGGGCAGGTGATGCTGTCTGTCCTTGCTGTCAGTTCCTTGACCTTTTTCTCTCTCGGGGGAGGGTGGGGGGACAGGGGGTGGTGAGTGTCCTGCCCCAGCAGTGGTGGTAGTGGGAGTGCTCTGGGTTTGCTGGGAAGGGTACTTATTCTTTGCCGCTGCCATGACCCCTCTGTGTCTCTCTTCTCTGGATTCTTCCCTCCCTCTTCCCCCTGGCTTTCAGCCTGTCTCTGCTTCCAAGGCTGAGGGGACCCTGACTTCTCGTTGCAGGTCACCCCCGGGTCCTGGCCGATCCCTTCCCTGGCAGCTCCCCGTACGAGGGCTACAACTACGGCTCCTTTGGTACGTGTCGGCGCTGGAGCTCGTGCCTGCCCACCCAGCCCAGTCTCCTTCGGCTGCCACCTCCGTGGTGGCCTCCTCAGCGCCCCCGGGCATGGGTCCAGAGTCCCCTTCCCAGAGGTCTCTCCTGCCTGCCTCACCACTTACCATTACCTGCAGGGAATAGTTGTGGCTCCACCGGATCCACTGACGGTCTGGTTGACAGCGCGGGCCCCGGGGACCTCTCCTACAGTTACCAGGGTGAGTGGGCCAGGCCGGGCAGAGCGGTGCGGTGCAGGGCTGGTGCTGGCTGCGTGAACTGTGATGGTGGGCGGTTGCTTCTGCTGCCAGACGCTGGAACCAGGGAAGGGCTTGCTGTCTCCCCACCCCTCTCCTCCCTCGTCCTTTCCTCCTTGACCCCACTTCCCCGGTAACTTTCCCTTTCCTTTGAAGGGCATGACCAGTTCAAGCGGCGCCTCCCCTTGGGCCAGATGCGGCAGCTGTGCATTGCCATGGGTAGATGTGAGGGGGGAGCACTGCTGTGCCTATCACCTCCTGCCAGGGCAGTTGACTGGAGCCAGCAGGCTCTACGACCAGACAGATGCTTGGTGCATGGCTTCCCCATCTAATGCTCATAATTGCTAGCTTGTGTGTCTTTTGAGATAGGCGGGCACCGGCCCCTGATGCTAGCAGTCTGGCACCCCAGCTGTCTCCAGGCTGTGTGTTCTGGCTTGCTGTTGTGTTTTCTAGCATTCTACTCCCTGGCTTGCTGGGGAGGGCTCGTGGGCAGGAGTGTCCTGTCCTGGTCTCTGGGGACTCTGGTCAGGCAAGGTTGCAGGAGGAATCTTCTGAAAGCATGAGAAAAGAACAAGATAAAGGAACAGGTGTTCTCCCCAGAGGCATCCTCCACCCTTACCTGCACTCCAGGGCCCCTGGGTCTTTATCCAGTAGGGGCCAAGGCAGTGTCTTCTCAGAACACACACAGCTGGCATCTTCTAATCAGAGTGACTTGTGCCCAATTCAGTCCTGCTGCTCGCGTCTGGGGCCTGAGGTCTGCTGGGTGTCCTGGCCGGGAAGCCCTAACTCAGTGACGGGGCAGGGCTGGAGTGGTCCCTGTTTGGTGGCCTCTTCATAGACCCCATCCTTGTTCCCCTCAAAGACTTAGGAGCACCTGATTCCTCCACCCCAGGCCTGAGACCACCTCCACCCCAGCTCCGAGCCTACAGTTTGCCTCTTACTACTGCCTAATAATTGTGACAATTGCCCCAGGTGGGTGTGGACAGACCTTGGGTTCTGGGCCCACCAGCTAACCCTTTCCTCCTGCCTGCCTCAGACCGCTCCCTTGACCCCATGGGCACTCGGCCACGACTGGACTCCATGAGCTCTGTGGAGGAGGACGACTATGACACATTGGCTGACATCGACTCAGACAAGAATGTCATTCGCACCAAGGTCTGACACCGGGCGGGCTGGCCCTGGTCAGGTGGGGCCCAGGGAAGGGAGATTCTGTGTTCAGCCCCAGCAGTGGCATGTTAGGGAAGCAAGAGGAAGAAGAGGAGGAGGAGGAGGGTGGCATGTTAGGGAAGCAAAGAGAAAGAGCTCAGCTGGGGTGGCATGGATGCCAGAGGAACTGACCGCTCCCAGCCCTCCCAACTATTTGGCCAGCAGCAGTGGGTGAGCCCAGAGCCCTGCCCGCCGGAATCGTGGCCCCCTTATCCTCCCCTAAGCTGGGTGAGAGGGGCTTCTCCCAGGCGGCGGGGAAGGAGGCTCACTCCAGCTTCTTTCCAGCAATACCTCTACGTGGCCGACCTGGCCCGCAAGGACAAACGTGTCCTGCGGAAAAAGTACCAGATCTACTTCTGGTGAGTGGGCGGAGCAGGCCGGGCGGCGCGGGGTGGTGGGGTCTCGGTCTCTCGGTCCTGCCGCCTCACTGCCGCCCTCCCACTCCTCAGGAACATCGCCACCATTGCTGTCTTCTATGCCCTTCCTGTGGTGCAGCTGGTGATCACCTACCAGACGGTGAGTGGGCAGGGGCCGGCTCCCAGGCCCGGTGCTAAGTGCCCTCGCGGGGCTGCGGGCTCGCCTCTGCCACAGTTTGGGACATGGCCCCAAGTGCAGAGCCTTCCACAGGTCGCAGGTCACTGGCCCTGGGTTCCAATACCAACTCTTCCTTACCAGCTGGGTGGCCTTGAGCAAGTCACTCAACCTCCCTGAGCCTCAGTTGGTTCATCTGCACCGCGGGGGCAGCACGTGGGATTATGGCACCTTCCCAGGTTCCCTTTCGTTATGAAACAAAAGCCCCAGGACTTTGTAAGTCTTGGTTTCCCTTCCTTCTTCTCTGCCCTATGGAGCATGAACCTCAGTCACAGTCATGCCTCAGGGTATTTGGCCGCATCTAGCAAGGGCGGTGGTGACTGTACCAAAAGTGGTACTTGCTGGTGTCATGTGCACACTGGTGCTGGCTGTGGTGGCACCCCCTATCTGTTGCGGAACTGGTGGTGGCGTGGGCTGTGGGCTGAGCCAGGCACCCTAGCGTCCCCCCTCCCTGCTTCTGCTCCCTGCTGCAGGTGGTGAATGTCACGGGGAACCAGGACATCTGCTACTACAACTTCCTCTGCGCCCACCCATTGGGCAACCTCAGGTGGGGATCATCTTGGGAGGCCCCCTTTCCCATCGCCCTGTGAGCCAGAGCAGGGACAGGGGCTCTGTGAATACCCACCTCAGGTGGGAGAGCGGCCAGGGTGTGAGGCTGAGGCCATATGCCCTGTGTCATCCCTTCCAGCGCCTTCAACAACATCCTTAGCAACCTGGGCTACATCCTGCTGGGGCTGCTCTTCCTGCTCATCATCCTGCAGCGGGAGATCAACCACAACCGGGCCGTGCTGCGGAACGACCTCTACGCTCTGGTGAGGACGCCTCATTTCTAGACCCTTCCTAGCAGGCGCCTTGCCCAGCCCTGCCCTGCCCAGCCCTACCCTGCCCAGCCCCATCTAGCCCTGCCCTGCCCAGTCTTGCCCTGCCCAGTCCTGCCCTGCCTAGCCCTGCCCAGCCTAATCCTGCCCAACCTAATCCTGCCCAGTCCTGCCCTGCCCAGCCTTACCCAGCCTAACCCTGCCCTGCCCAGCCCTACTCAGCCTTGCCCATCCTAGCCTAGCCCAGCCCTGCCCTGCCCAGCCCTGCCCAGCCTAGCCTAGCCCTGCCCTGCCCAGCCCTGCCCAGCCCTGCCCTGCCCTGCCCAGCCCTGCCCAGCCTAGCCTAGCCTGCCCAGCCCTGCCCAGCCCAGCCCTACCCTGCCCAGCCCTGCCCAGCCTAGCCCTGCCCTACCCTGCCCAGCTCTGCTCAGTCCTGTCCTGTCCTGCCCTGTCCTTCCCAGCCCTGCCATGCCTAAGTCCCCACTCGACCCCTATCCCACCTCTCTTTCATAATCTCCCTCTTCTGGGCCCCTTCCTTCCTCCCTTTCCACCTCCCCTCCCCTCTCCCTTCCCCCCTTCTTTCTCCCCAACAGGAATGTGGGATCCCAAAGCACTTTGGCCTCTTCTACGCCATGGGCACGGCCCTGATGATGGAGGGGCTGCTTAGCGCTTGCTATCACGTCTGCCCCAATTATACCAATTTCCAGTTTGGTGAGCAGAGACTCCCTCTTCCTTGGCTGAACCTAGAGCAGGGACCTGCCTGAGTCCTCTACCATCCCTAGTCACCCACAGGGGTCAGGATCCCCTAGACTGCTGTGTGGGAGACTCTGGGCTGGGGGCTTGTGTGTGCACGATCCTCACTTGTAGAAGATAGGCGTCTGGATGCTCTTTCATTCATCTGTCAAGCATCTCCTATGGAAAGGCTTGTGCAAGCACTGAGAAAACAAAGATGATTAAGATACGGTCCCTGATCTCAGCGTGCTCAGACTGAGTGGTCCTTGTCAAGGGAAGTCAGACTGTGGGTTCAGCCAGCGAGGCAGCAGTGTGGTGTGGCAGGGACAGTTAAGGAACTGGAGTTCAAGTGCCAGCCTGCCACCATCTCGCTCGATGGCCACAGTGAGGTGTGGGGGCCCTCTCTTCCACTCTGGTCATGCGGGCTGGGGGTCCCATGCCTGGGCTCAGTGGATATTTGTGTAGCTCACGTCCATGTCTCTCAACGTAGACACGTCGTTCATGTACATGATCGCTGGGCTCTGCATGCTGAAGCTCTACCAGAAGCGCCACCCAGACATCAACGCCAGTGCCTACAGCGCCTATGCCTGCCTGGCCATCGTCATCTTCTTTTCTGTGCTTGGCGTGGTGAGACCCGACCCTCTCTGTTAACCCCGTGAGAAAGGTGCACATGTGTGCACACACCCCCATCTACCCCTGCAGGAGAGATTCCTGCTCCTTCCCTAAGGTGCCTTCCTTGGGCCCCTCAGAGCACCCCAGCTCCTCTGCGCCTCCTCACCCCTGCCCTCGGTGGCCCCGACAGGTCTTCGGCAAAGGGAACACAGCATTCTGGATTGTCTTCTCGATCATTCACATCATTGCCACCCTCCTGCTCAGCACACAACTCTATTACATGGGCCGCTGGAAGCTGGGTGAGGGCACGCCTGGGGCCTGCTGGGGTTGGTGGCCTCGGGGACATGGCCTCACAGGAGACTTTGGGTTCTGCCCTCTCATGGAGGCCCTGGAGGAATCACTGGGTGCAGAATTAGATGATAAGGCTCTTGGCCTAGCTGTGCCCTCTGAAGGCCCTGGGTCCACTGGGGATGCCCACGCCCTTCAGCACCTCCCTTCTTGCAGACTCGGGGATCTGCCGTCGCATTCTCCATGTGCTCTACACAGACTGCATCCGGCAGTGCAGCGGGCCCCTCTATGTGGTACCTGCCCAGCTCCCCGGCCCCTCCTCCTCCATCTGTGCTCTTCCCTCTGGTGGGGGGCGGGGCTTGGGTGAGAGCCCAGGGGAGGAATGGGGACCCATTGACTTGGGCTTCCCTCCACTTCTCTCCCTGGCCCTCAGTTACCGTGTCTCTGCTTCCCTCCAGGACCGCATGGTGCTGCTAGTTATGGGCAACATTATCAACTGGTCACTGTGAGTCCAGCCATTGTCTGTGTAGCCAGGCTGGGTGGACAGCTGGGGACCTGGCCAGCCACTGGCTGCCTTGGGGGCCACAGACAAATTTGGGCATAAGAAATGGGGACAAAGGAGAGAGTTGTTGGCCCCTGGGGTTCCAGAATCTTCTGTGGGCCTCTGAACCCAGCCCTACATCATAATCAAACAGGGGGTAGGGGTGAGGGAGAGACCTTTTCTTGCTCTCTCCCTGCCCCCTGACTTTACCAGCTCCTCCTTTCCTGCCAGGGCTGCCTATGGGCTCATCATGCGTCCCAATGACTTCGCCTCCTACTTGTTGGCCATTGGCATCTGCAACCTGCTTCTTTACTTTGCCTTCTACATTATTATGAAGGTGAGTGGGGATGGCTGAGCCTCCTCAGCTGGCTGCTCTGCTTCTGGGGGAAAGAGATGGGCATAGACTGCCTGGGGCAGCACTCAGAGGCAGTGAGGATTTTTCTGTCCATCTCTCTACGCCAGTGAGTTTTGAGGAGGGGAGAGGCTAACGTCTCTTGTACGTCCTCCCTGGGAGCCAGCTACATCCTAAGACCCATTTGCTGAGCCCCTTCTGTGTTGGCCTGTGAAACTGGTGGCACTTCAGGCTGCAGTTGGTGGGAGCCCCGTTCAGTGCAGAAAGGGTTCAGAAGGTGGGGCTCACGTATGTGGTGGGCTTGGACCTCTGAGGGCCAGGTGCTTCCCAGGGGCCCTCATGCCGTCCAGTGTGAGAGGAGCCCCCGGCCAGTGCATCCCACCAGCACGGGGCACGTGGAGGCCCAGCCAGGGCGGACATCAGGGGTGAGGACACCGGGCTGCTGGTGTAGGGCACAAGTTGAGCTGTGTAGCTGTGTGGGGTGATGGGATGAATCCAAGGCTTCCTGAAGGATCCGTCCTGAAAGCCTTGGCGGTGGCTTCAGGGGCAGGCCGGGAAGCGTGTCAGGGCCGTCCAGCTGCTCTTCCCCCTTCCCGCAGCTCCGGAGCGGGGAGAAGATCAAGCTTATTCCCCTGCTCTGCATTGTCTGCACGTCGGTGGTCTGGGGCTTTGCGCTCTTCTTCTTCTTCCAGGGACTCAGCACCTGGCAGGTGAGTCGTCCTCCTGCCAAGAGAGTGGGGGAGTCACCCACAGGCTCACCATGAGCCCACACACGGCCAGTTCTTTTTTCAAAAATGGTTTGTGAACGTCTGCCACGCTCTTTCACAGCTGCTTTCTCATTTAATTCTCCTAACATTCAACCTGCCAGCATGGAGGTACCTCTGCTTTACTCGTGAGGCAGCTGAGGCTCAGAGAGGCCAAGGGACCTGTCCAAGGTCACACAGCAGGGATTTGAAGCCAGAGATGTCAGCCTCTCCCCTCTGTGATCAGAATCAAATCTGGCAGGGTCTCTGCCTTTGAGGCACTTCTAACCTAGTTCAGGAGAGAGACGGTCCGTTCCTGGCTTGCTCTTTACAATGTGATACATGAGATGAAGGGGGTAGGCAAGACAGGCGGGGGAATGTGCAGGAGGGCAGAGGACAGGAAGGCTTCTGTGAGTTAGGAGGTCCAGGGAAGCTTCTTAGGGGAGGCAAGCCTTGCTCTTGGCCTTAGACACCCTGGGTGATGGAGAAGGGCCCTGTGGCCTAGACATGTTGGTACTTGAATAATGAGGCAGAGGCAGCCTTGGGGTCAGTGAATGCATTCACTTGGGAGCCAAGTGGAGACTGTGAGCTCCTTGAGGGCAGGGCAGGTCTTCCCTGGTCATCTCTGCAGCCTCAGCGGGTGACTCTGGCAGCCCCAGACACACAGTAAGGCCCAGCTGGTGTTTGCTGGACGGACATTATGGGGAGAGCGTGGAGGACCTTGAGTGCTGTGGGTCATTGCCCACAGGTCATGGCTCCTGTCGTCCTTGGGCAGGGCTGTGACCTGACAATAGTGCTTTGGAGAGAAAGCAGGCCTGGGGAGCCCTGGAGGACCGCCTAGAGCAGGGGGCGGAGCCCAAGGCAGGGAACGGACTTGGGAAGCTTTGGCGGCCTTCTGGTCCTTCAAGGGAACCCCGACCAGCATTCTTAGGGAGAAATTTGCAACAAAAGGTCAAATTCTTAGATGTGGGAGATGGGGGTGGGGTGGGGGGTGGGCAAGGAGTAAGCCAGAAAGAGGGTGCTCTTCTGCCTGAGCTGGCGCCGGGAACAGAGAGTGCCCGGGGGAGATGGGAGCGGGGCTGGCCCAGCCACGTGGGGGCCCTGTCAGCAGGCAGCTCATCCCCTTCCTCCACAGAAAACCCCTGCGGAGTCGCGGGAGCACAACCGGGACTGCATCCTCCTCGACTTCTTTGATGACCACGACATCTGGCACTTCCTCTCCTCCATTGCCATGTTTGGGTCGTTCCTGGTGCGTGGGACTCTTGTGGCTGGAGACAGGAGGCGGGGAGGCTGGAGACAGGAGGTAGAGGTAGCCTCCTGTCCTGTGCTTGACTCCGCATCCCCCTCAGGTATTGCTGACACTTGATGATGACCTGGACACCGTGCATCGGGACAAGATCTACGTCTTCTAGCAGGAGCTGGGCCCCTTGCTTCACTCATGGGACTCTGAGCTCCTTGGCTGCACTGCCCAGAGCTTGCGTAGTGCCAGGGATGTGAGTCCCAGCCCTGCTGCCCTGTGCCGGGTGGCGGTGGGACAGCAAGGTCTAGCCCAGGCTTGGCCGTGGACAGTCACGGGGGTGGCCTTGAGCCTTGCTCCTTCCCTCTGCTGGGGAGGAAGCCTGCTTCCCCCGAAACCCTGGATGTTGGCCAAATTGCTGCTTTCTTCTCAGTGTTGGGACCTTCCATGGGTCCCTGTCCATCGGCTCTCTGTTTATCCTTCTGCAGGAGGAAGGAGGGAAGTGTTCCCTGTCCATCTCATGCCTTGTATTCTGCTCGTCACTCCACTGCCCTCCAGTCTGGGACCCAAAGCGCTTTCTCGTCCCTGAGCCCCCACTCAGGGCCTTGGTCTGGGGCCTGATTCCCTGTCCTGCACCTGGGCTCGCTCCACTTCTCTTTGGGTCTGTCCCTGGCTGCCATCACTGCCCACTCCTGTCAGCCAGGATGGATGGGGGTGTAGGATTCTGGGGGCTGGCCAGCTGGTGCCAGGCTTTTGGTGCTAAGGCCTCCAAGGGCCCCCGGGCAGTGCTGCCCCTCCCCCTGTGCTCAGGGCTGGCTCTTTAGCAATGAGGGTCAGCCCACATGGGAGAACCGCCTTTAATCTGAAGGACTGAATTCAGAGGTCACTTTCCTATCTCATCAGCCCCCAGACTGATGTTGGCATCAAGATTGGAAGGAAAAAGTAACTCATCTTTTTCCTTCCTTTTTCTTTCCAGGCCCTTAGTCCTGCCAAACCCCAGACAGGGGCCTTTCAGTGCCATCGACACTGCCCAAGAATGTCTAGAGGCAAGGAGGGGACACAAAGCCTGGCCTGCCTCCTCCATGGTCACAGGGGCCCCAGTGCCTGTCTTAGATCAGGGCTCAGGGAAGGGACGTGATAACTCCCCTCCGTGTCCCGGTCCAGCCTCACTCTAGGATGCAGGGCTGGCTTCTAAGTTTCCGTCCAGTCTTCAGCCGAGTTCTGTGTCAGTCACATACACACACACGTGAAACCTTGGAGTTTACACTGAGTGGCCCCAGCTCTGGTTCTCCTGGCTACTCTGGACCTTGGATCCCTCCCTTTACCTGGTCTGTTTCAGATGCCAAGGTTGGGGGAGGTCAGGTCCGGCCTTTGCCTGGGGCATGGGAATGTGTTTTATGCTCCCCAGTTTGTTTTTGTAGCTCTCCCTTGGGCTGGGGAGAGGAGGTGGGTCTGGATCTTTTTTTCAGAGCTCTATTTAATGTCTGTTTCCATGCTATGGTTGCATTTCTGTTTACTATGAATGAGTCTGCATTCAATTAAAGAAACAACCAGATGCAGTTCTTGGGCCCCTCTTTGCTCCCTCTTCCTGGGTAGAGCTATTGAAAATGAGGAGTTAGGCCGGGAACCATTTCCCAGGCCTTCTGGTCTACCATTCTCTTCCAAGCCCCAGTCCCTTGAAACACCCACACTTTTCCTCTCCTTTGAGCAATGGCATCCATTCAGTTTAGAAGGGGCCTGCTCCATGCTAGGTGTCATATGGGTGGGGCGGCTAGTGTAGTGAAAAAGCCTTAGCTATGCCATCTCACCTCAGATCCCTCCTTACCTGGCAGATGGCAGTGGCCTCTGCCCACCTGGTCCCCATCCAGCAATCAGGCCAGCTTCACTTCTGAGCTGAGCCCCTCTCAGCTTGGCAGGCTGCTGGCAGGGGCAGTGCTTCCTGACTTAAAGGTCAGGACAGTGACTTTAATGGACAGGAGCGTGTGAGCCGAGGCCAGGGTGGTGCTTGGGGAACACAAGATGGTGTTGGGTGGTGGGTGAGTGGACACGTGGATGATGGGCAGGCTCCAAGAGGAGGGAGCTTTGAAATGACCCTGGAAGGTTGATTTAGGTTTTGGCAGGCTAAAGAGGACAAGATGGGGAGTGGAGTCGAGTGTGTTTAGGAAGTTAGTGAATTCAGGACACAGGCAGAGGTCCGGGCTCCTCTCCCTGATCTTCCCAGCATACGCCACTAGGGGGCGCTGTAGCTCCGCGCCTCTGGGCTCTGGCGTCTGGAGGCTGGCTGAGGTTGATAGGCCTTCCCCTGACTGCCTGGCCTGGCTGCCCCTCCTGGTGATGCCAGGCGTGTGTGTGGTGGACAGTGTTAGGGCCCCCCTACCAGGCTGCCCTAGGATGGGGTGGTGCCACAGCCCCACTGGATTCTCTCCAGACCTCTTGTCCCTTCCTAGATCACTGAAGCAAGATGTGAATTGCTCTCCCTCCTGGGTGATAGGTTCCAGTCTGTTTTCCAGGGTAGGTAGGGACTATTTAAAAGAGAGGGAGGGGAGAAGGTATAGCTCAAATGGTAGAGTGAGTGCATACACGAGGTCCTGGGTTCAATCCCCAGTACCTCCTCTAAAAAATAAACAAACCTAATTACCTCCTCCTATCAAAAAAAAAAATTAAAAGGGAGGGAGGGATGATAGCAGCTTCTGAGCTTCCTAGCCCAGTGTAGGTGTCTCAGGCCCTAGAGGCCCTCTGGGTTGGGGCCAGGGTTGACTGAGCTGCTGCTGCATCCTCAACTCCCACCCGCGACTAAAGCATGTGACTCAAGACCCACCCCAACTGCAAATTCTCAATCTGAGCAGGCGCCACGCGGCAGGGGGTCAACAGGGACGCCCAGGTTTTGCCACTCAGGACCCACCACGTGGCCTTGGGTAAGATGCATTCCCAGCCTTTGTTTCCTCATTTGTAAAATGGGGCAGTAATTGCGTTGTCACGATAGTGCTGTGAGTATAAAAGGAGCGCGTTTGCAGAGTGCCTGGCATGTAGCCGGTCCTCACTAAAGGTGAGTTCCTGTCTCCCACTGGAGCTAAAAGCCCCAGAAAGAGAGGGAAGAGAGGGTGGCTGGTGAGCCCCACGAACCTCAGGGCGGGACCCCCCGGGACTCCCCCCCTCCCCCCGAGCATCTTTCCTCTTTCTCTGGACAGCCCCTCTTTTCTCGCCCTCTCCTCAAGCTCGGAGGCAGGGAACAGTGTCAAAGAAGCAGCCCTAAGCCCCGGACGGCAGGGAAAGCCTTCATGGTCCTGTCCATAAAAGGCTTTTCCCGGCCGTTCCCCGCCGGCAGCGCGGCCCCGCCCCCGCCGGCTCCATCTCCAAAGCACGCGGAGAATGTCTCGGGCAGCCCCCGGTAGACTGCTCCAACTTGGTGTCTTTCCCCAAATATGGAGCCTGTGTGGAGTCACTGGGGGGAATGGGGGTGGAGAAGGAGCCGGTTTCCTCTGGCAGGGAGGGGGCCGGGGTGAGCCGGCGGGGGAGGCTGACATCACTGCGGCAGCGGCCCTTTAAACCCCTCACCCAGCCAGCGCCCCATCCTGTCTGTCCAAGTCCAGACAGAGCTCACTCCTTCCTGCGAGCCCCAGGAACCCCTGTAAGTGCATTTGTCCCGGGGTTGGAAGGGAGTTGGGCTGGGGCTTGGCAGTAGCAGTGGGTATATTGTAGGAAGGGCTCCCGGACTCCCCGGCTGGGGAAGCCCACCCTCTGAGTCAGTGTGCTTTCCTAATCTCCACCTGGGGAAGTGGTCCTGGCTTGATGGGTGGGATGGGGTTCCTAGCATCCTGTATCTCTCAGACTGGGCAGCCTTGGGCTCACTGAAATGCCCAGGGTGACTTGGCTGGTGCAGAGGGTTTGACAGTGGGAACCTGGGACCTGGAGTGAGAGGAAGGCTCCCCATTTTCAGCCATAGTCACACCCATGGAGGGTGTGATAGGGTCAAGGTGGTGTTGGTTTAGACCCAAGGCTTGTGATCTGCTGTCCGTCTAGGAGGATGTCTGAGGAGGTGAGGAGGTGTGGTACACTATTGCTGGAGAGCAGTGTCCCTCTGGTGGGTCCCCAGGGCCTGAGCAGAATAGGCGAGCCCCTGGGTAGCCACTGGGGCAGCGGGAAGGACACAAGACTCGCATTCTGCAACAGGCTGGGGTGGCAGGGTGCAGGGACAATGGGAGAGTTGCTTTACCAGGCACACAGCCCCCCCCATACTAAATGGGAGGTCACCCCACCACAGGCAGAGGAGTGGGGTTGGACACTGCCAGGAGCTTTGGAGTGATGGCCTGGGCGACGGAGACAGAACCCGGCAGGGCCCTCCCGCAGGGTCTGGCTGGCTCCCCTCAGAGGTTGCTATTCAAAGGGTAGCAGTGAGTAGGATGGGTCCTCCTCTGTCCCCAGAATTTAGATGAGCTACCCCTCCTGCCACCTCAGATCCATGTGTGCTCATGCTGTGTTTTGTTCTGAAGAGAGAAGGGGCAGAGCAGTCCTGCAGGGACCCCTAATTCTGCCAGTTTTTCGGGTTCCTGCTGGTAGGAGGTGCCCACTGCTCCTTTGCAGCTGGACTGTGTTCTTTCTCTTGGGAGGGGAGGCTGGCAGGAGCCACAGGGCAGAAGGGATCAAAGCAGAGCATCGGGCTGCACTGTCCATCCTGTCCCAGGAGCCTTGGCCTAGAAAGGCCCCCTGGTGGGCTCCCCTGCCACCATCGCTCTCTCCCTCCCCGGTCTCCAGCAGCAACAACGTGGGACTCAGAGGTCTTCATCAGAGGCCGCTGAGGGATTTCTGGGAACCCGCCACTTTCAGACTCTGCACCAGGAGGGAGGAGGGTGGGGGTGGGGTGTCTTTCACCCCTCCTCCTTTGTTCTGATCAAAATCCAAATGTTGTCTCTGAATCTAGGGGCTGTGACTTTGTGTACTTGTCACTGTGAGCCTTGACTGTTCTGAATCTCTTGAGACTGAAAGCTGGGGTGGGCGACACACTCTGCTGGCACCCTGTTCCTCACATGCCCAGCGCAAAGTCTAGGAGGGGAAGGCAGATGGGAGGGTAGGTGGGTAGAGGAACACCAGGAGGGCTGGGTCTGGAATGGGGGGTGGTGCCTGGACCACAGGGATGCCCGCTGTCTGCCTGGGATGGTGGGGGTGAAGGCTGAGATGAGGAGGGAGGGTAGGAGGCCAGGATGAAGGAGGGGCTGAAATCTCCTGGCCCCAGCTGCTTGTGTGTTTTGACCACAGTTCTTTGCCCAGGAGTCCTTGGGTGGTTGGGAAGCAGGGATGAGACACACAGCAGGGAGGGAAAGGGAGGGACTTGGCCTTTGGATTCTTTGGCATCGCTGGCTGGGAGAGGGGTGGTGGTGCTCTGAGAACCATATCCTCAGAGATGGCCTGGCCCTCATTTTACAAATAAGGAAACAGGCTCAGAGAGAAGTGAGTTGCCCAATGGTTGGAATTTAGAGGAGCCCTTCTCTGTGTTCTTTCTCAAACTTTGTTGTACCCTCAGGGAATGATTCTGAACAGGGGTGGGGACTGGAGCGGGAAGAACACTGTTTTTTACCACTTGATGAGGGGCCGGCTTTCTCAGGTCACCACCAGGAGACTGGCTCTAAGGAGCTCTGCTGAGGGACAGGCAGTGTGCTAGGAAGTCACCAGCAGTTCCCAGCCCTCTGAGGAAGATAACATTACCCTCACTGCACAGACGGGGAATTTGAGCTCAGAAAAGTTGTCAGCTGTGGGGAAAGGGTGGGGCACATGGGGTCTGGCAGCTGAGCTGGGACATGTGAAGTGACGATGTCACTGCCTCCCACGGGGGTGGGTGAGGGCAGGGGCTTAGCTGACAGGAGATGGAGTGGAGAGGGGACCTGACTGACTACCTCCATCCTCCGACCATCCTCTTCCTCCCAACCTCTGATCTCCCTCAGGCCAGGGGATGGTTTGGCCTCATTTTGTTCCTCTTCGGAAGGGCTCTTCCGATGGACTCTAGGCGATGCCTGTGGCCAGGTCAGGTTCCTCTTGACCAGCCACACCCGTGCCTACCCAGCGGCCTACCTACCTGGCCCTCCTCCTGAGGGGCCTCCCCCCAACCCCACCGCCTCCATTAGTAGGGGTCGTCCTGAGCAGGGCCAGCCCCAGGCCCTAGGGCAGCAGCTGCTGCTGGGCTGGACAGGGAGGGCTTCCCAGGCTCTGGTGGGCAGATTCTTGGCTCATATCCCCAGAGAACTTGGGCTTCCTGATGACTCAAGCAACCAGACTGGTGAGAGCCTGAGAGCACCAGGGGAGGTCGATGGGGATGGGGATACCAGTTCTCAGGCCCTCTCTGTCTCTCATCTGGTTCCCCTGAGGAAATGCAGCTTCTTGGCTCAGAGCTCTTGGGCCTTGCTGGCTTCCCAGCCCTTACCAGGGGTGGGCAAGCTTCAGCCTCTGTAGCTGCAGGCGGAGGCTGAGCTGACCAGCAAAGAGCTGGAGTTTTGGAGTTTCCGCTTCTGGGCAAGAGGATAAAGTGGGGGGAGGAGTTAAGAGCTGGACGAACCTCATAACTTCAGGAAGAGCCGACAAACCACCTCCATACCTGGCTGGACAAAGTCATCTGCTGGATTTATTTTGGGGGAGAGCCTGGCCTCTTCTGGAAGTCCTCTCCAGTACCTGTGTGGCCAGTCTTGGGAGAGAAAGAATGCTCTAGACCAGGGCTTGTCTAACCCACAGGTTAAATGCAGCCTGTCATCTGTTTGTGTAAATAAAGTTTTATGGGAACCTGGCCACACTCATTGTTTAGGGTCATTTGTCTAAGGCTGCTTTGATGCTGCAATGGCAGAGAACTTATGGCCTACAAAGCCTAAAATATAACTGTCAGTAAAACGACTGGTTAAATTTACAAAAAAAGAGTTTGCTAACTCCTGCCCTAGACTGCCAAAAGTCTAGTCTCCCAAGTTTAGAGAGGCTCCCAGGACTGAGGGGATGAGTGTGGCTGGTGAACAATGCCATGGAAACAGTCAGGAAGCAAGGGGAGGCAGACACCGGCTTGCCCCCAGACAAAGCTGGAAGGCCTGCCTGGCACAAGTGACATCAGAGATGTTCTCTGACCCTCTGGCCCTCTCCCTTCTCTGGCCTGTGCTGCTTTAGCTCCCTGCCAACATGGCCAACAAGGGTCCTTCCTACGGCATGAGCCGCGAGGTGCAATCCAAAATTGAGAAGAAGTACGATGAGGAGCTGGAGGAGCGGCTGGTGGAGTGGATCATAGTGCAGTGCGGCCCTGACGTGGGGCGCCCAGACCGCGGGCGCCTGGGCTTCCAGGTCTGGCTGAAGAATGGCGTGGTGAGTGGCACCCGGGCAGGGGGCTGGGGCTGTGCTGGAGCTGTGGGGCAGGCCCCCCGAACCCCCAAGCCAAGGGCCAAGCTACCTTCTCTGCCTGGCAGATTCTGAGCAAGCTGGTCAACAGCCTGTATCCTGATGGCTCCAAGCCAGTGAAGGTGCCCGAGAACCCGCCTTCCATGGTCTTCAAGCAGATGGAGCAGGTGGCTCAGTTCCTGAAGGCGGCTGAGGACTATGGCGTCACCAAGACTGACATGTTCCAGACTGTTGACCTCTTTGAAGGTACAGAGAGAAGAGGGGCAGAGGAAGCAGGGGGAGGACAGGAGGCTGAGGCAGGGGCAAGGGATGATCGAACCTGCCACAACCACGATGACAGGTCTGCATAGGAGGGATGGGAAACGCCAAGACAACACCACAGCCACGAGGGTGTAGGACCTGCTGTGCCTCCTTCCATTTTAGGACAAACTTTGCCCCTGGGTTGGCTGTTTTTTCTGAGGTGTGGGCAGGCCCTGCCTTGGAGTCCTGCTTTCACAGTCCTGAAGGTCATCCCGTCTCCCCACTTTCATAGGCAAAGACCTGGCAGCAGTGCAGAGGACCCTGATGGCCCTGGGCAGCTTGGCAGTGACCAAGAACGATGGACACTACCGTGGAGATCCCAACTGGTTTATGAAGTACGTGGCCACCAGGGTCTCCCTGCGTCCTGAGCTCGGGTCTCTGCACGAGATGGGCAGTGGCCTGGGCTAACCCGTTAGTGCAGTGATTTGGGGAAGCTGATAGCCAGGAAGGTATGAAGGGAAGGTCTAGGATGGGGGGAATGGGACCCTAATACTTCTTGACTCTGCCCTTTCCACCCTCCCGTCTCAGCCAGTATCTTGCCTGTGCTGAGGAACAAGCTAGATTAAGGAAGCCAGAGCAGTGGGACAGGGAGGCACTGGGATTGGGCTAGGAGGTAGCCGAGGGAACAAAACACAGGTGGAAAATGCAGTCCTGGCAAGTCTTTGTCCTGGTTCCTCCTCTTCTAGGAAAGCCCAGGAGCATAAGAGGGAATTCACAGAGAGCCAACTGCAGGAGGGAAAGCACGTCATTGGCCTACAGATGGGCAGCAACAGAGGGGCCTCCCAGGCTGGCATGACGGGCTACGGACGACCTCGGCAGATCATCAGTTAGAGGGGGCAGGCTGGCCCCCAGCCCGGCCCCTGCCCAGCTCGCTGGCCGCAGCCATCCCGCCTAGCCCGCCTCACCAGCACCCGTGTAGCTCCTTCAGCCCCGGCCAAGCTTCGAGGCTCTGTCACTGAGCAAAGGTGACTGCACTTGGGCAGCTCGCCCCCACTCCTCAGCCCAACTTCTCATCCCCAAGCACTGCTCCCCTGGCCCGCCTCCGGGCTCCCCCGCTGGCTCAACTGTCTCCCCATCCCGGGCTGAGCGGGGAGACGTGGGCTGGGGGTGGCCTGGGTGTGGGCAGGTCCACTGTCCTTGTTGGCAACAGATGCCAACTGAAGGAAACCCGGCCCAAACTCCCCCTGTTCTTTGCTGGAATATTTTGGGGGTTGAAATTTAAAAAGAAAAAAAAAAGTATACATCATCTTTTCTCAGGTCTGGCTGGCAGAGTCTGATTTGCCCTTGCTACTTCTGTTCTGGTTCCAGGAAATCTGAGTAGGGAACAGGCGGGCAGCTCAGGTGTACGTGTGTTCCTGGCTGCTGCCCTCTGAGGGAGCCCTTGCGCTCCAGGATGCCAGGGGGTGGAAGAGGAGAATGACTGTTGGGGACTGAAGGGAAAGGGGAGCAACCAGGCCCCTTGAGTTAGCTCTGGGGAGGCGGAGGGAAGGAGATGGGCAGGGGCAGGACTGTGTGGAAGGTCTTTATTTTGGAAAAGGTGTGCAGAAAAAATTCAACAAAATGTTGCTGTGAAAAGAGAAAACCCAATTTGAAGCATTAAAAACAACAACAACAAAATTCAAACCAATCAACCAGCTCAGAAGAGGGGAGGAGGTCAAGAAGGGGAGGAAGAGGCCCAGCCTGTCCGCAGACGGCCGGCCTCCGGCAGGCAAGGCCATTTCCCTGAGCACTTTGCAGAGGAAGACAGGGTGGTCGCAGGGCTGGAGGGGCAGTCCGGCCACAGACTCCCCTGCTGGAGCAGCCCAGGCCTGGGGGCCATGTCTGTCCCCAGCCTTGCCAGGCAAGTCGTACCGATCCTTCAGGAAGAAGGGTGGGGGTGACGGTTGACAGCGTCAGGGCTGTGTTCCAGGTTGGCTTCTGATCAGGGATAACGAGGCATCTGCTTTCAGGGCAACTGCTGAGCTAAGGGCTGACTGCCACACCAATATGTTCAAGGTCCAAGGAAGGCTTAGGCTGGAAGGTGAGGGAGAGAAGGGGAGAGTCAGCTGTTTCTGGCCCCTGGGTCATTAAAAGGACAGGTATATCCAGGGCTCTTCCCAGCCTCCACCCCTAAGCCCTCTTCCCAAGTGACCCCAGTGATGGTTCGGCTGAGATGCTCTTCTGGCCACACACAGGTGAGGGTCCCCGTGACCCAGGCCCCTGGCTTGCCCCGGAGGAATGAGGACGGAGGCCTGCCCAGCGGGGGCGCCAGTCCCTCATCCAAACCCGCTCCCCAAAAGCTCCTGTTTGGTTGGAGGACGGTCCTGTGGCTGTTGCCAGGCTGTTCTCCGGCACCACTCCTCTGCCACTCGTACCTTCAGAAGGCCCCTGCCCTCCCTGAGCGTAGTCTTTAGCCAGAGGGTGCTCTTTAGGCCTCTGGTCCCAGATGGGGGCATCGGGGCTGCCTTCTCCCCAGAGCTCCTGGGACTTTGGAGCAGCTTTCCAAGCTTCCCCAGTCCTAGGAAGGAAGAGCCTGTCCAATGTCGGCTGTCAGGCCTTAGGTCAGCAAATCTGCTCCTCCTTCCCCTGCAACAGGTCTAGGGGTAGGTGCTGGGGCAGGCCCCAGTCCCCTTGATCCAGCAGGTCCGGCGCGTGGAGCCCGGAGGTGGTGGGAGGGCACTCGCTCTCTGTCCCGACTCTGCCGGGATCCTGGCTGCTGCAAAGGGGCACTGATTCTAGTTCTGTCCCCTCCTCCTTGGCTTTTCGGCTTCGCTGGGGCCAGTGGCAGGATCCACTCCGGCAAACTGGGTGAGAGGCCACATTCCTCTGGCTCAAGTATACTTCCAGCATGTAGTAAATGGTCCAGAAGACGGTGAAACAGCCTATCAGCACCAGGGTCTGGGGGAAAGTCAAACACCTGTTCAGGTAGGGATGGCTTCCCAAAAGCCTACAGCCTTTCTCTGCCCCGAACAATGAGCTCAAGCCCCTCCTTCTAGGGGCCTCCTCTCTCATCACAACCCCGCTCCCCTTGTTCCCCTCAAGGAGTGCCCTCGGAGTTAGCCCAGTAGAGTGAGGACTCAGGCCTTCCTGACTTCTCACTTTCCAAGTCGCCTTGAGTCCCCCACGGAGGACTAAATTCCCCGGGACATTCCTGCCCGCCTGCAGCTTGAGTCTCGGCCCTAGTACCTTGAGGGTGTTAGGGGTGATGGTGTAACCATCTTCCTCGGGAATTTTCAGCCCAGGAGGGCAGGGCAGAGTGAAGCCATCGTGCAGGTATTTTCCACTCATGGCACTTTCTAGAAGCCTGTGGAGAAGAAGGGAGTCAGGGACGGGCCCTACTCGGTTCCTCTATCATCTGCCTTGTACATCCTCCCGCCTTACAGATGCAGAAGTCCCATAGCAAGAAGGGGAGGGCTGCGCCGTGCGTTCCCAGGGAGGTGGAGCACCCTCAGTGGCCTCTGTCCCCTTACCCCACGAGTCCCCTTCCCTCTGATAAGTGCCTACCTTTGTCTGTCCCTGATGTCCACTGGACTCCACACAGAGCCATAGAGGGTCAGCTGCCACTGCCGGAGGATGCCGGCCTGGGACGTCTCATCTCCTAGAGCCACAAGTGGGGTAGCCCGTGAGCCGAGCCCGCTGGTGGCCACTCGAACAGCAGAGGCCCCGCCTGCCCCGCCCCCTAAAGGGACTCAGACCACAAGGGCGGGCCAGTGACCCCGGGGTTCTGCAGACGTGCCTCTGGGGGTGCCCCGCGGAACAGAAAGGGGGAAGGTGAGAGGTGGTACCCCAAAGCAGAGAAGTTTTGCCTCTTTCACATTTTGGGGCTTCAGCTGGGATTTTGCTGGGGGAAAAGAAAAAGTCCTCTGCTAAATTAAAAAAAGGTTTGAAAACCACCAGTCCAGTGATGAATCCCTAACTTGGCTGGAAGTTGGGGGAGTTGGGTTCAATTTCCAGTCTCTTCACTGAAATACTGCATGACCTCACACAAGTCACTTCAAACCTCTGGGTGGGCCTCAGTTTAAAAAAAATGGTGAAAATTAGTCCTGCCCTTACCTGCCTACCAGGGCTGGCCGGAAGATGGTTATATGTGAAAGAACTTGAAATGTGGTTTCAACAAGGAATTTTTGTTGCTATCCTGAGGAAAAATGGATCAGTCACTTCGCCAAGGAATATGAGAGGTAGTATAAATGAACAAGTTTAGGTATCAATGCCCACTTTTTGGATGGGGCATACTTCTTGGCATCTACCCTCTTGGTCCAAGGGCAACCCTATGTACTCCACCTGGGACACTTTCCGAGGGGACTCTGAGATCCAGAGGGACCGGATGACAACCATGAGAGACAGGGCCCTGCTGGAGGGACAGGCAGGCTTACCGACATCCCTGATGACGAGTCTGTAGGTCCCCCTCGCTCTTTCCCCCCAGCACCGCACAGTGGAGAAGGTCCAGTCGTTGAAGCCGTTGGGATCCCTGGGGCAAGGACAGAAGAAAGAGGGAGGGATGGAGCAGGGAACTGACCTTTTGCCCAGAGACATTTTCTTACTGGTGTAGCAGTTATCTGACCTACAGCCATCGGGAGGGGGGCCGGCTGTGAGGGTCCTCAAGTGCTGTCCCTTGCTCCTGGGATCTCAGGGGACGAGTACTTGTGTCATTGTGGTGTATGGGAAAAAGCAAGTGTGCCGAGAACACAGGCTTGGGAGTCCCATAGATCTAGGCTTACTGTTACTTTCCCAGGCACTTACTCGCTCTGTGGCTTGTTTCCTCATTTGTAAAAGGAGGTGACAAAGTCTACTCTGTATGGTTCTTGTAAGAATGAGAGAAAGCATATGTAAAATGCAGTGCTGAGCATATTATAAGTGCTTGAACAAAGCATGTAATAAGTCAGGTGCCCACATCAGCTGGTGCCAAGGTAGCTCAGGACAGTGCCAGTGTCCACTTCTGGAAAAGGCCCTTGTTGCAAAGAGAGCTCAGAAGGTGAAGGCACGTGTACGTACGAGTCCATGCTGCGGGGGGCGCCGATAAGGGACATCATGCCACTGGGGCAAAACAGCTTCAGTTCCAAGCTGCCGCGTCGTGGGTGAGTAATGGAGACTGTCACTGCCACGTGCTCCAGGGTCTTCAGCCCCGACATTTCCAGGTCCGTCCTGCTGACTGTGGGAAGTCAGGCTGGGCGACTGGGAAACCAGCCCCATCAACACTTCTGCCCTCACTTCACCCCAACAGACACAGAGGCACATACTCACCGAGGACACATACAAATGTCTACAGCAACCCTAAGTGGGGCCTAGCGGACACTGATAAATGGAAAGTCGCTGCTTTCAAGTTTACAACCTAATTTAGAGTCTAGTTGGGAAGACAGCATATCCCCAAGACACAATACAAGAACCAAATGGAGCAACTTCCATCATTCATTCATCCAAAGAATAATTTACAGAGGACCTCCTACAGTTAAGGCACCAAAACAGATGCCGGGAATATAAAGGTAAGTGGGACACGGTCTCTGCCTTCTTCTTTCAAGTGGAAAATGATATGGTATGAAGCATGTACATAACTGATGGTAGAACAGAGATGAGTCAGACAGGTTTAGGCACACAGCAGGGAGACACACTCTGCAGAAGGAAATGAACACAGACTGGTCGAGAGCGTTGGCAGAAGGCACTCTAGAAGGGGAAGTGGCATGTGTACAGGCAGAAGTGGAAATGAACAAGTTTCATATTGAAGGCAATACACAATTTTTAAAAAAATCGACTGAAATGAATAAATTTCAAGGACATTTTGTTGAGCGAAAATAGCCAATACAAAAAAAGCATACATAGTAAATGATTTCATTTACATAATACTCATGAATAACAGAGCCATAGAGACAGAGAACGGTTAGTGGTTGCCGGGCGCTAGGGATGGGGCAGAGGGGATGGCTGTGCCCCTAAAGGGCTGACACAGAGTCTTGGGATGGTTTGGTTCTGGATCTTGGTTGTGATGGTGGTTACACAAGGCTACACGTGTGGCAAAACTGCACACACACACACACACACACAGACACGTTCAAATACAAGTGCATGTCCAATCGGTGAAATCTGAATAATGTCATTCTCTTGGTTTGGATGTTGTCCCAGAATTGTTTGAGACATTAACATCAGGAGAAGGGTGCACAGGGCTTCCCTGAACATTGTTTTGCAACCTCCTGTGAATCTGTAAGTATTTCAAAATAAAAAGTTAAAAAAAAAAACAAAACAGCTACTGACGTAGAAGACTCAATTGGGAAATATTAAGCAATTAGGCTGCAATGAGAAATGAGTCTTTCTAAAGCAACTTTTCTTCCGCTAATTCATTCCAACAGGCAAAGCAGAGACCAACACCTTCATTTCACAGATGAAGCGGCTCAGAGAGTTGCTGAAAGTATGGGCAGGAGACCTAGGATGGGAAGGGCTTTAAAATTTTATTTTAAACAAGCAACTGAGAGCTATTACAGATTAATGAGCCAGGACAGGAGTGCTGAAGGAAGGTTACTCTTAACAGTTGAGGGTAGGCTGAATCGGAGAAGGAAGGAAAAAAGGGGGGCAGAAAGACCAGCTAAATGCTACTGCCTCTTCTAGGGGTGAGGCATTGCGACCTCAGGGAACGATGAAGAAAGAGGAAAGGTAAGGCTCAGGGCTCCCAGTGACTCCCCGTCTGTCCTTCCTAGACTCTGTGCCTCCCGGCCTCCCGCTCAGCCCTCTCTCACTGCGCTCACGTCAGGGAAGAGGACCACCTCCCGTCATCCACTGCGACACCAGTGTTCACCAGGACTACCTACCCTGATGTCATCACTTCACATCCCTTTACCGCCTCACCTGCACAGACCTCCCTCCATCCCACGTCAGCACAGACTCCCACGGCCAGACCCCGGGCCTTGTCATCACCTGGGACTGCTTTGCTTACGAATGGTTTAGTAACTTCCATTGTGGGTTTTATTACATAAGCAGCACAAATTAATTGAAGACAAATCAGAAAAGTAGTTGGGCACAAATGAGAACAGAAAGGCTCCCGCAATTCTTGGTAACACGTTGGTTAAGCATCCTTCCAGACCTCTCTCTGGGCATGTCTGTGTGCAGGTGTGTCTCTTATTAACTCTGTCAACTCACGGAAGCCGATGTCCCACCTTCTCAGAACGTGACCTCCTGCCTCTCCACTTTCTCCCCTGCCTTCCTGGCCCCTTCATTTTCTTGCTCCTCAAGAGATGCATCAAGCTCCTTTCCTAACTGCCTAAGATCCCAGAGCCCATCCCTCCAACACTCTCTTATTTACACGCTCAAGCTCCCTTTCCTTTCACAATAAGCCTCTGGCCAAAGCCCAACACCAGATCAGCCCGATTACACCTCTCGTTGGCTGGGTCTTCTTGCTTACGTCTTTCCTATGACAAAGGAAAGACAAACAAACCCTTTCTCAACTTTTCCCTTCCGCCTACTAGTGTTAAGAGCATGGGCTCTGGAGCCACCCGGCCTGGGTTCAAATCCCTCTCTGCCATTTGCTAGCTCTGAGAATTAGGTTACTTTCCTTCTCTGTGAGATGTCCCCATTATATTTCATGCCTTATCAATTTAAGGTACACTCTCTGTCTCCCACTTGCTGCTGTACCTGGGGTCCTGGGTTCTGGAGAATAAATTTCCCAGCTCCTGCCTGGATAACGAAGGGGCCGTCACCTGGCTACCAAGGATGGGACAAGACACCTGGGAGTCTACCTTTTAGTGGAGCCCTCACTTTAGTCTCATACCTCATCTCTGTCTTCTGCAGGACATGGGGCCTCCGAGTCCGGAGCCTCTGGGGGCTCTGGGGCATGAATGGGCTTGTTGTTAGTATCACCCTTGCAGGTATTGGGTTTGCAATTTTCTTAGCCCTGTTCACTTCTCCAGTCATTTTCCATCTTCCAAAAATGTGTTGAAATCTCTCATTTGCTGTGGTCTCCTCTCTCATTCTCTTTGTCCTTGTGCTTAGACCACTTTTATTCCTTTATTCTTACTTTGGTGAAGTTTTGGGAGAAAGCAGAGATAAAAGCACGTGTTCAATTTACCATCTGTAAACGGAATCCTTTTCCTGTTCCCGTGAATTGTTCAACCCACTGCAATCTAGCTCCTGCTCCCATGAATACACTGAAACACTGTGTTCTTAAAGTCACCATGGCCTCCTTGATAAACCAGGGACGCCCTCAGTCCTTGTCCACTTGCCCTTTCTCATTGAATTGCCCTAGATTCCCGTGACACCACCCTCCTGGTTCTTCTCCAACCTCTCAGGCATCTCTTCTCCATTCTCTTCTGAGGGCCCCCTTCCTCTCCACCCCTTTAATGTCAGGCTGTGTCCTAGGTCCTCGTTTATCCTTGTCTACCCCCCAACCCTAGTGATCTCATTCTTTCCCAGACCTTTTTCTTCCATTTTTAGGCTGGTGACTCCCAAACCATGGCCTCCAGTCTAGACCTTCAAACTTATTTATTCAACTGTTTTCTGGCTACCACCCCTAGATGTTGCACAGAAGCCTCAAACACAGCAGGGCCAAAATTCTCTTCCTCAGTCCCTCATACTCCGTGCCCTTGCCCAAACCTGTTCTTCCTCCTGCGTTCTTAATCTCATGTGATGGCATCACCATCTAACCAGTTATTCAAGCTAAAAACATATATATATACACACAAAAGATACACACACACACACACACATATATATACACACATATAAATATATACACACATTTATATATAAACTTGCACTATAGAAAATTTCAGACATATATAAAAATGGAGAGAATAGATGGTCTCAACACCTCACTTCAATAATTACCAATATATGGTCAATCTTGTTTCATCGATGACCCCCACTTCCTCCCCTTCCCAGATTCTTTTGACAGCATCCCCAGGCATTATATCATTGCATCAGTGAGGATTTTGCATGTATCTCTAAAAGGTAAGGCCCTGGGAATCTCTCTGACTGCTCTCCTTCTCCCTAACTGCCAACATCAATTGGTGACAGTTCACTTCAAAGGCTCCCCACGGACCCCAAGATAAAGGCCGAACTCCTTGCCATGGCAGACACAGTTCTACGTGGTCCTGCCAGCCCAGCTTCAGGTCTTCCTCTGCCCCTCACAAGCCATGCTCCAGCCACATCGCTCGACTTGCGATGACACTGAAGACACTACGGACTCTGCATGCATTGCCCCTGCTTCCTGGATGTCCCTTCTTCGCTTCATCTCCTGACCAGTGTACCTGGTAGAACTCGGGTCAGCCACAGCTGCTCTGAGAACCCTCCTGTGTCTTCCCTGGTGGCAGGAGGCAACTGCGTCATCTGTATGGCAGTGCCTGTAACCCTGTGTTCCACCTGCAGGCAGGACTGTCTTCCCTCCCAGACTGTGAGCTCTTTGAGGGCAAGAATCATGCCTTATCTCTGAATCCCTAGAACTTAGTATAGTGCCTGGGATGGGGTAGGTCTCACATACTTGTAAAATGAGTGAGTCAATCAACCAAGAGACATACCAGAAAAATAAATGGAAGACGAAATTGCAGGGGAAGTCCTAGGGAGAGGCAAGGGATATAGACAGATGGAAAACTCCTGAGTTTCAAGTTTGGGGGCCCAGGGAATGGGGATGGCACTCACAGAACTGACAGCAGCTTGGAAAGAGAGCTGGTTTTTGAGAGGCGATAATGACATCTAAAACTGTGTACATTTTAAGTGTAGTGTATTGGTGGAAAAAATCAACAGCACACAGTGATTTCGGAATAGAAAGACGGAGGAAAATATTCCTGGCGTAGCTGGAGGGGAGCATTAACATGGCAGATACGGGGCTAACGGAGAGTAAGTGACATGCTGCAGACCACTACAGAACAGGATGGAATCCCAAAAGGGCCCGTGAGAGCTTGTCTGCGTTGGCAGGTGTGCAGAGCGGTGTGCTGCATACATGCCTGTCCCTGTTGGTGTGTACAGGGACTGGGGCAGCCACGCGTGTGAGAACACAAGAATTACATTGTTAGAGTTAAATGAGTCAGTATGTTACATGAGCTAATACTAAGAGCAGCACTTGGAACATAAAAAGCACTCAGGTCTTAGTCGATGATGGTCATCATTATTACTGTTTTGCCTTTGGCAAGTTGGGGTCTTTTTCAACTCCCCCACCGTAAGATCCTAGGGCTTTATTTGCTCATAATCTTATGGAAGCTACAAAAATCTCTACCCGCCAACCCCCTGCCAAGCTCACTGGTGACAGATCAGAGTAAGAGATGTTGATCTAGGAATCATTTGTGGAGAGCTGAAGCCACAAACACAGCTGCACAGTCGAGGAAGCAAACGCAGAGGGAGGATCAAGGATGTGGGATGAGCCTTTGAGGCACGGGTGGTTTGGGAGTAGTGAGAAGAGAGAACAAAAAGACTAAGTTCCTAGTATTTTCTTACGGTTTTTTG